CCAAGCTTCTCCTCTCAATATGCGGGAACCAATCACTGTACAGCAGCTCTTCCTCCCAGACTGGGCGGGTCTCCAATCCTGGGTGCCTAGGGCCTTGTCTTATGTCTAGACACTTCTCCTCTTTTCCTTAAGCCAGGCACCGCTCACTGGTGACGCTCACCACAATACTGGCTACACGCCAGGTCTGCTGCTCCTGAGAGCTCTGTTTTCATGAACGACTGGGCACACACTCCCTGTTTGCCTCCCTCAGACCCTAAGTTTGTAGAGCTTGGGGCTGAGAACCCCCAGCAAATTTGCTTGCCCTACGGTAGCCACGCCTCCGATAGCGAGTGCAAGGGACCTCAGTTGTCAGCACTGGTGGGATCAGTAGCCGGGAGTTCCACACCGCGAGTCCCGAGCCACTCCTGATTCCCTTGGTCTGGCTATCGCGCTCACAGGAGAGCTGGGAGGGGGGAGGGGCCCTTAAGGTTTCCCCGCTGTGGAGAGGGAAGGCTAGGGGATTACACACCTTTTGCTGCTGGTTTCAATGAATTTATCTCCTCCGCCGCGTTTTGGTGATGTCAGTTCTCTGCCATGGTGGTATCCCATGCAAATGGTGACAGTTCGTTCCCTTTGCCGGCTGACCAATGCAACAGATGGGTCCTGTCTGTCTCTCCCAAGCCCCTTTTCAATCCTGTGGCCACTGCCTATGCAGGCTCGATTGGCATTAACCTCCGTAGGATCAGAAGGGCTGACCAGTTGTTTCAGCGGGATTGTTAGTGCTGAGTCACAATGGTTTGGCTTCAAGAAGCAGGCGAACGAGAGCTTGAATGCAGCCGATCCCGGCTCGGTGTGTGTTCTGAGAGGCCTGGACTGTTCGCCCCAGATCCACCTCAGCTCTGCATTGCCTAGTGATCCTGAGCAAACAGCATTTAGACAGTTTACGACTCCCTATGCCCGCGCAGCTGAAGAGGTCAGAGATTTGATCTCTCCGCACCCGCCGCCATGTTACTACCTAGGCATTTTTCATCAAATTTGTTTTCAAGATTGTATATTTTGTCTTCATTACCTGAAACTCTTGTGTGTTAGTGAGATATTCAACTGAATTTTTTTTTTTTTTTTTTTTTTTTTTTTGTATATTCAACTGAATTTTTTTTTTTTTTTTTTTTTTTTTTTTTGGTACTGGGAATTGAACTCGGGCATTCTACCACTGAGCCACATTCCCAGCCCTGTTTTGTATTTTATTTAGAGCCAGGGTCTCACTGAGATACTTAGTGCCTTGCTGCTTTGAACTCACAATCCTCCTGTCTCAGCCTCCTGAGCCACTGGGATTATAGGCATATGCCACCGCACCCTGCTCAATTGAATCATTAATTTACTTTATTGATTTCTCCCTTTTGAGGATTCTACTTGATTTTTTTTTGTTTTTCCTTTTTTTTTCAGAATCTCTCTTTATTGAAGTGATCTTTGACTTCCTATGTTTTCCCTCTGATTTTACTCCTTATACTGTCCTTTACTTCACAAATCAGTTTAATTATGTACATTCTAAACTCGTGCTCTGTCATTTCTTCCACTGTGGTGTCTATGGATTCTATTATTGGAATATCTTGATTTGTTTGAGGCAGTTTGTTCCCTTGCTTTTTCATGTTGTTCATGTGTCCTCCCATCTAACTGTGGATCTGAGGCAGACAGGTTTCTACCCTGTGGACTTACAGTGTACCTAAAGTTTTCCAGTACCTCAATGTTTAGGAGGTATCAAGTAATAACAACAACCAATGCAAACAATATACAAAATTAAACCAAATAATTCCTAATATGACATCTACAATGTTAATTATCACAATAAACAGAAATGATATGATCAGTTATTACCTACAATAAAAACAGCAAGTTTGCAAAATGGTTTACAGTTTCAAATGGTGGACAAGAGAACAAAAGTGATATAGGATGTGATGATTATTAGGGAGGAAGAGAGAAGACAGAAGTGAAAAATAAATGACAAGTGAAAGAGAACAATAGAGATTGGCTGTTAGTAGAAGAAAAGAGAGAATCAAGGGAAATAGGTAAGAAAATATATAAAGTAAAAATATTTTTAAAAATAAAAACAGAAGAATGCAAAACTTAAATACACTAATCAAACATCCTAGTTCTCAAAGAACTAATATATGGGAAACAACTGGCTTCACAAATGCTAGAAATGAGAAGAAAATCCAAATATGTATAAATGTCCATGTACCATAAATGTCACAAACAGATGAAAGAAAAAAGAAAAAAATCTTGATGAAAAGTTAAAGAATTCTTTCCACTGGAATTGAAAAGATTCTCAGCTTCTCTTCTCAGCAGTTTTAGGTAGGGTCATCTGGACCGCCATGCTCCACCCTCTGGATTGCTGGAATGAGAGGGGTAATCTCATAAGTAGAATTCCTGGAGGCAGGGTTTAGGTTTACATGGGCTTAAGGCTCTTTGCAGAGTGCCAGTTGGTCTGGAGATTTTTAAATCAGCACACCTCCAACGCCCAGTACGTGCTTCTCCACACTGAAGACTATACCCCAAGGAATCTCCCCTGGGTTCCACTCATGTGGTGGGAGTGTGCGAACCCCACATTTTCAAACAGTATATCCTGCACCCACCTTTCCAAGTTCCCGGCCAAATAGATGAGTCTCTCCCAGCCTGTCCTACAAGCAGCAGAATGGAGGGGTAGGGGTAGAGGTACGTGGGTTTCCACAATCAGTTGTCCCCTATGTAAACCTCTTTCCACATTTGATGTTCTCCTGTTCACTGAAGCACACTTTATGATGTGAGTGTGTTTACTGGGCCTGTATTTTGAGCCAAACTCAGGTTTACCAACTCTTAGCTGCTGGCCCCCATGCCTCAGCTGCAAAATGCTTCCTTCCTTTATCCTCCACACACTGTCTGGAGAGATGGTGGCTTCTTTACCACACAAAGATATTGTGCAACATGTCTGTGGAGCAGTGTCCTTGATCTTTAAATGCTCCGTACCCAGACGTGCCTCAGACCTCCCAAAAATGTAGGTTTCTTTAATTCTCTTATCCCTCCACTTTGCTCACAGAGGGACCACCCTGGCTGGTGCTTTTGGCCCAACCATTGCAGCAGCTCTGCTTCTGGAGATTTCTGTCTTATTTTATTATATCCAACCTCCTGAGTCCCAGATCTGCTTTGAACATCCAGTTTTCCAGTGAAGTCCCTCCACCCCCTGCTTTTTTTTTTTTTGTTCACCCACCTTGCAGAGAAGCTGCCCATCTGCTTTATTGGTTTCATGCCACAGAGGAGCCAGGAAAGCAACCTCCTGTATCAAGAGTGATTATTTCTTACTTCCTGGTCTGGCATTCTTCTAGTATTCATGCTTTCTGAGAGCAAATATACAAATGTTTCACAAAAACTCTATTTTTTACAGTCCTAAATCTTAATTCCTCTGTGACTTGAAGTATCTATGTATTTTTTTAAAAAAAAATTAGAAGGTCTTCCTTTTAATGACTCTTCAAAGTTAGGTTTTTTTATTTGCTCATCCCTTACAATGAATGAATCACCTATATTCTGAGTGTATCAGCCTTTTGAGCTTTTTATAATTTGACATCTTTTTCTGCAGAATTATGATCTGGCACTGAAGTATTTCCAGAAAGCTGCTGAACAAGGCTGGGTGGATGGGCAACTGCAACTTGGTTCTATGTACTATAGTAAGTCGTAACATTGAAATTTATCATGAATACACCAAGATCTAAACTAACCTATTTTTCACTAGATGGCAGTATGATATGGAAATGGGAACTACACAATTCTGGCTAATTAATATTCTCCCAATTCAATTATTTGTGCATTTTATTTTTCATTGTAAAATTATTTTAATGAATATTAATCTATATTAGCCAGGTTCACATATTTATATTTAGAAAATATAAGTATTTATAAATATAATAATAAGGTATATTAATAATATAATAAATATTTATGAATATTTATATTTAGCAAATATGTGATTCTGGTTAATATAGATTAATATATATTAACATATGACCCTTTTTTTTGGTACTAGGGGTTGAACCCAGGGGTGCTTAGCCACTGAGCCTCATCCCCAGCCCCTTCCCCTTCTTGCTGAGTTGCTTAGTTCTCACTAAGTTGCTAAGGCTGGCTTTGAACCCATGATCTTCCTGAACATAGGACTTTCATTAGAGTTTATTCTTCATAGGGAAGGCTTCTCTGACACTTTAACTAAATCTTATTTAAGAGTCTTTCATGTGATTTTTTTTTTTCTTACAGATGGCATTGGAGTCAAGAGGGATTATAAACAGGCCTTGAAATACTTTAATTTAGCTTCTCAAGGAGGCCACATCCTGGCTTTCTATAACCTAGCACAGATGCATGCCAGCGGCACAGGTGTAATGCGATCATGTCACACTGCAGTGGAGGTAAGGGATTTTCTAACAATTTGTGTGGAGGAAATTATTGGCCCAATAGGAAGGCCTACCATTTTAGTTCTGTTTCCCTTGCATGATTTTTTTTCTACAGTACAAAAAGACTCAGCCTATTAGCATTGATATACTGAGGGAAGACCCTGGGGATCCATGTGTAACTGTTGTACCTATTTAGTTTGTCTGTTCTTATTAACATCAGTGTTTGTAAGAGCAGATGTTAGTGTGTGGTATCTCTCACCTCAAACAGCATCTGATAGCATCAGAAAAAAAGAGTATTGTTGAATAAATACTCCAAAGGGGAATGCTAACATCTCTTAATTGGAAATTTTCCTCTTCAGCTCTCTGAAATGCTATGAAACTTCAGAGTGACATTGATAAATGCTTAGCAAAGTTTCTAAATCTTTCTGTGCTTTAGTGTCTTCACTTGTAAAAGAGGGCTTCTAAAAGGACTTACCTCATTAGATGGCCCTTCATCAGCCTCTTAGGAGGAATAAATATGTTAACATCCATAGTATATGTAAATCTTTAGAACAGCACCTGTTCAGAGTAATGGTATATAATGTTCTTATTTTTATAAACCTGTTTTTCTCTTAAGGGTAGATGAAAGTGAGCTACTAGAGATTCAAAGAGCAAATTTAACAATCAGTTGTAGTCAGGGTACAGAGTTATTTTTTGGCATGTTATTTTTCTTCTTTCCTCTTCTAGTTGTTTAAGAATGTATGTGAACGAGGCCGTTGGTCTGAGAGGCTTATGATTGCCTATAACAGCTATAAAGATGGTGACTACAATGCTGCAGTGGTCCAGTACCTCCTGCTGGCCGAACAAGGCTATGAAGTGGCACAAAGCAATGCAGCCTTCATTCTTGATCAGAGTAAGGTTAATTTTACTCCTGCCTCGGACCTAAATGCATTCAATATCTTCTTAAAATAAAGCAAGTAATAAAACACTGGATTTTCCCAACATTAGATCCCCAGAACTGGCTCAGTAATTAGTCTCATTATCCGTATTTTAAATAGAACATGTTTCAGGAAGTTTTGACATCCAGAATTCACTGGCTTATTTGAACTCAGTGTGTTTATTCCAATACTTATTTAATCTAGTACATATTGTTTTGGGGAGGTTGCTCAGAAAACACACCAATTCCCAGTTTTGTTCAAATTGAAGAGTCTTTATTTAGCCAGCCGGCCAACGACTGAGCCCCACAGGACCTAATACTGTCTGTGTAAGGAACAGCCCTGAGCCTGAGCATTTTAGGATATTTAAAGGCAGAACTGCAAAAACCACATCCAGGTTTAAGTAGGTGCAAGCAAGCAGGTACAGAAGCTGAATTAGGCAGTTAGCAAGACAATGCAATGGATACATTGATATTTCCCATGAGACTTTCCAGGTTGGCATAGCAGCAAGCAAGCAGAAGGGAAGTGGGTCAAAATGACCCTAGTTCAGTACCAGTTAGAGAATGGTTACTAATGTCTAGACAATCACAATCTCTGACAATCAATCTCTGGTACATTGCCCAAGAAAAATGGAAACCAAAGAGAACAATTTTACATTGTATAAGAATTGCTACTTTATGTTGCCAAGTATGTTATGCTAGGTTATGCTAGGTAACTCTTAATGGGTACAGAGGTGGGGCTTTCCCATAGGAGAAGCATTTCTTACATGATATGGACTCTCAGGATAAAATGGAGTCTGTTTGGTCATTGCCCATATAGCCTGGCCCATAACACTTATCATGCTCTGTGTATCCACCCTAGATGCAAATGAAGCATGAACGTCTAGTGCCTTTCCTTAAATGCCTGATTCGTATTTCACTTCTTGTTCTGTAGGAGAGGCAACCATTGTTGGTGAGAATGAAACTTATCCCAGAGCTTTACTACATTGGAACAGGGCTGCCTCTCAAGGTAAGTGATAAATTCTAGAGCATACTTTTCACCCAGTGACTTCTCTGTTGATTTTCATCTCCCGTGAACATTAAATCAGGTCATTCATCACCTTAAAATTAAGCAGAGATACTAACTGTGGCTTCACTTATTTGCATCATGATCAGTATGTATTCTCAATCGTAGTTCTAGTGCCAGGATTTGTAAATGGAATTGTAAAGTCTTTGTATTGGACATTTCCATCCTGCTGTGGTTCACTTTTGGTTTCTAATTTTAGGCTAGTTTATTGTATAAAATGAGATTTGAATAAAATTCATAATAGAATATCATCCTGAAACTCATAGAGACTAACTTTTCCCCACTCTTTTTCTTTTGAATATTTGTTTCTCACACATAAATCTGCTCAAAATTATCTGCCTGTTTCTTCTCCAGGCCTAAACAATGGTCATGCTAAACCATTTTTAGAATTTAAATGACAGGATAAAATAGGGCATGAAGATTTAAGAGGAGTGTTAGTGAAATAGAATACTAGCCAACTTGTTTCACCTCTCCCTATTACAAAACATTGTACAGAAAAGCTGCACTTCTAGCTTAAATTTTTACTGACTTGATAGCTTAACTGAAGGCTTTTTTCCACAGTTTGTATACTACAAATTAAAATTCTTTGTCTTATATAAGCATGTTAATGAAAGAGAAATAAATTGATCTGTCTTAAACATACTTTTATTTACTGGCAGTTTTACATTTAACTTTTGTTTAAGGATATACCGTGGCTAGAATTAAGCTTGGAGACTACCATTTCTATGGATTTGGCACGGATGTAGATTACGAGACTGCATTTATTCATTATCGTCTAGCTTCTGAGCAGCAACACAGTGCACAAGCTATGTTTAATCTGGGATATATGCATGAGAAAGGACTAGGCATTAAACAGGTGAGTGGCTTCAAAACATGTTTGAATAATGTAATTATGATAAGGGGAAACACCTGTATTTGTTGGACATTAGGCTTTCTGCGAAATTCCATCAGATTTTAGGCTAGTAAGTTATGAGACCGATTTCTAATATTTCAAAGACTGCCTTTGACACTCTCATCTTCCAGCAAACACATATTAAGACCTATACTGTTATATTTAGAATATTAAAGTAAAGGTAGATTCATGACTCACAATCAGTGCTACCTGGGTTATTACTCCTTGTTCAAAAAACTCTGTCTTTAATCAAATTTTGTTATTTCTAAATTATTTTGAAATGAATTAAAATTTTTCCCACTGATAAAATTACTGCTGCTGCTTATACCTTTCTAGTGAAATCTAACACTCTCTAGAACTATGGTATTAGTATTTTTGTCTATATCCTCTCAAAAGGAAAACTATACTTCTTATAGTTTAAGTTTGCTTTTAAATTTTTCTTAAGTTTCAAAAGGGTATAAATTACAGCCATTTTAAATATTAAAATAAATACTCTTGAAATAAAATAAATTCTTGAATATCCAGTAGACTCTAAATTTCAAAATAGATACCCAGTGATCCCAGTGTTGATTTTTTTTTTAAAATATACAAGCGAGTTCTTTAATTACAAATTATATTTTTCTTATCTCCCTAAATGTATATTTTTAGCCCTTGCTTTCATATATAGAATTACATCCTAATGTTATATTTTTAGTGATTTGGTCTTTAGCTGGTCACCTTGTCATACATATCTGAAATAGTATATAAATTTATTTTTAATTTTATTTTGTATGATCTGGGTTAAGAAAATTTGTAAGATGTTACTAGTCACAGTTGACTAGTTATTAATCTGTTATTAATCAAATCAATAAAATAATTATAAAATTTTACTCTTTTGAGTGTTTTTTAAATCAGTTTACATATAATTGAGACTAGCACTAATTCTTTTTATTTTTCTAAATGTTAATGTTTTAAAGTTATCTTAATATTTACCTTGTTCACATAAATAAGTCTATAGGAATGGGAACCGTTTTATTACAACAGAGTCACTTAATTCTTTAAATTGCTTTCAAGTGGTATACCAAAAATCAGAGTGATCTCTGATTAAAAATTATTTTTTTGCTTTATCCATGACAACTTTGATTAGGAACCCCCTTCATTAATGTTAAAAGAAAAGAATTAGAAACCAGAGACTGGCAAAAAAGAATGTGTTTCCTGATCCCTGGAGCCATTCATTTTCTTGGTTTTTTAAAAGAGTACTGAAAAAGCTTTGCCAAGATTTATAAAATGATTTTATTATACCCTTACTCTGTCACATAGGGGTATTTTGTTGACCTAATATCTTTAAGGATTGAGGGAAAGTTGTTAATTTCATTTTGCTAAGTTATCTTAATATTACAATTTTATTACTATTATTATTTTATTACTATTATTATTATTATTTTATTACTATTAAACATTTAAACATTTAAATGTAGTATTATCAGAACTCTGGAGTGCAGACTCAGTGCTTTGTTTCCAGAAGATCTGTTCCATGCAACACATCAGAGAAGCCTCTCTGCCTTGTTAACAGTCAACCTAGTCATACTTGGTTTTTATCAGAAAAACAGACTTAATTTTTTTAATTCAAATAAAGTTTGCTATGTGTTTAATGACTAATATAAAGATCACATATAAACATGCTTTTGTGGGATATATTTAGCAATAATCTGTTTTTATAATAGATTATAAAACAGGAAAATTAACATACTTTTCTCAGATTAATTTCTAATATGATATATAGCTAATATTATAAATTCTTATGAATAAAGGATATATATTCTTGTTTGGGACTGTAGCTCAGTGGTAGAGTGCTTGCCTGGCACCTGTGAGGCACTGAGTTGATCTATAACACCACATAAAAATAAATAAACAAATAAATAAAATAAATGTGAAAAAAAAAGGAATATATATCCCTTCAGTGAGAGTGAGGGAAGGGAACTTAGGTTCAGATTTTGATAATAACTAGCCTATACAAAACTCATAATAATTCCATTACTTTTTGTAACATCAAAATTATGTTTTCCTATCTTTTATCTTTTTTTAAAATGAAAGAAATATCCATATTGCTAAGTGTTAATCAGTCCAGCAAGTAGTATAGCTAGGAAAATGTTAAGTATTAAATAATGAATTAACTACAGCTAGAAAAAAATTATTTAAGATATGATTTTATAAAGTTTAAATTATTCTATTGAATCATCCTCAGAGTCTATGTTATTACATAACGTTTGATATGTTATCTTGAAAAATACAGCAGTCTAAAAAAATTTTTCACATTTTGTTTGGGTTTTGGAAATCCACTCCAGGGCTTCATGCAAGCTAAGCATGAGCTTTGCCTCAGAGTTACACCTCTACCCCTGAGTTCATTTTTTTGTTGTTTTTGGGGGGATACCAGGGATTGAATTCAAGGGTATTCAATCACTGAGCCACATCCCAACCCTATTTTTGTATTTTATTTAGAGACAGGGTCTCACTGAGTTGCTTAGTGCTTCACTTTTACTGAGGCTGGCTTTGAACTTATGATCCTCCTGCCTCAGCCTTCTGAGCCACTAGGATTACAAGCATGCACCACTGTGCCTGGCTAATTACTATATTTTTTTTAAAAAATCAGAGGCACTAACCATAGTGTTACTATTATTTGAAGGTAGTATTCTTTTTAACTAATGACACACCCCAGGACAAGAATAAGGAACAGCTAAAGGTAAATGCTTATATTTAAATATATGAGAGGGGAATTATATTTCATATATAGCCTTTTTTCCTCCATCTCATGAAATTCTTTCCTAAGAGTTTGGTAGTTTTTGACAATAGTCAGGGCATGGAAAAGGTTAGATTTTTTTTTGAAGTGTAAAATATCACAACTCCCACTATCCCCTTTTCCTATATATCTAAATTCTCAACACTGCATCCTGGGTCAAAATTAATATTGATTTGTTTTACCCTTCACAGAAATATGTCTAAAACAAGATGCCCTGCAATGAGTTCATAATTAGTGCATGTAGGAGCCTTCTCTAAAACCAATATTTCAGGATTTCTCTTTATGTGGTGACCCTGAAGTTTTTATGCCACTGGGCAGAGCACATGAAAAAGAGGTGAGGTAGGAGAAGGGTATGCCTTTCTTTGCAAAGTGGAGAGAGGTTTCCATACACACAGGCCAATTCCCAAGCACGTACTTGATAGAGACAGCCCATATGTCAGTTCAGGAACTTAAAAAATAGAGGTCTTGGGGCTGGGGTTGTGGCTTAGCAGTAGAGCACTCGCCTAGCATGTGCGGGGCCCAGGGTTCGATCCTCAGCACCACATAAAAATAAATAAAATAAAGATATTGTGTCCAACTACAACTAAAAAAAAATAAATATTAAAAAAAAAAAACCAGAGGTCTTTAACAGTGTGCATATATGGAGAGAGGAGGATGTTCCTCCCAACCTGGAGTCCCTGCTATCTTCACATTGTCAACTCCATGCCTTCTCCAATGAAACAAGCCAATCAGGTGTGGCTTAAAAAGAAAATAGAGGGTCTAGGGATGTGGCTTAAGCAGTAGCGTGCTCACCTGGCATGCATGGGACGCTGGGTTCGATCCTCAGCACCACATAAAAATGAAGATGTGTCCACCGAAAACTAAAAAATAAATATTAAAAATAATTCTCTCTCTCTCTCAAAAAAAAAAAAAAAAAAGAATGTCATTTATACCTTCTTTAAAAAAAAAAAAAAATAGACCTTTAACATTGCCCACACAAGTACCTCTTGGAAAATCTTGAGTGTGAACTGGAGATTTGAAATGAAACCAGAGTTGCTTACACCAAGTGAAGTTTTAAGTAGAAAAAAACATCTTGAAATCTAGACGGTGTCCTTTGAATTCTCCAGGTTAACATATTTTGTTATTATATGTTATATAATATATGTTAACATATTATACACAGATACATGGCTATAGCCAGCATATCTTCATAGCAAATAGGATGTTACTTTGGTGGAAAATAAGCAAAGTTTTCTAAATTTTAATTAAGTTTTTCAATATGGTGCAGTTAGATAATTAAATTTTACCCAGTAAAGCTGGGTTTTGGTTTTTTTTTTTTCCTTTAGATAAGGGAAATTTGTTTTAAGTTGAAGTAAAACAAATTTTCCTAATGTATAAACTAAATATAAACAGTTTCACTTATTTTCACAAGAAATAAGTTTGGGTTTGTTACCTGTATTATAGGATATTCACCTTGCAAAACGCTTTTATGACATGGCAGCCGAAGCCAGCCCTGATGCCCAAGTACCAGTCTTCTTAGCACTCTGTAAATTGGGCGTTGTCTATTTCTTGCAGTACATACGGGAAACAAATGTAAGTGGTTCGTGTCTCTTTTAATTAAGATATAAATGATATCACTTTCTTGGTCCTGGAAGTTTGTTAAAAAGTTGGGAGGCATAGGGAGGAGTATTGTATGTTGGATCTCATTTCCAGCTCTGCCTAGGTAAAGTACCACGGGACCTCATCAGATGAGGGTCAGATGTAGACATGAAGCAGTAACAGTTTTCATGTAGCATTTTACAGGGGTTCCTAATGTTAAAGCATTTTTCTTTGATATAGGGGTTTTCCAGTTTAGGGAAAAGAGACTTAACGGCAGTTTGAAACAGTAATTAAACTAAATTCAGTAAACATTAAATGAGATGACTTCCTGGGAAGGACTTGAACCAGTTCCTTTAAAAATATAAAGTGCAGGGTGGAGAAGAACCTGAGAATCTGTACAACCTCTTGTATCTCAGATTCTTCCAAAAGTGAAACATAGTTAAAAATGCCACCAAAATTTTTTCTCCCTAAAAATAGCTTGAATTATTTAAACAAGCTAGCAGTAGAACCTAAACAGAAGATGGGTTACCTATTGTCTTCAAAGCTACCTACTTTAATTAATGATATTTGCGTGTAGGTGCTTTTGGGTTCTATCAGTTTTAAATTTTGCTCATAGTACCAATAGTTCCTAATAGCAAATTACAGAATTTAACTCTGAAACCCAAGATGTTGAGACTCCTTGTTTAAAACAAAAGCCATTTAACTTTAGTTCATTGAGTACCCTAAAAGAATGATGTTTCGACCTTCTGTTAATGTCTTTCAAAATAGTTTGATATAGCATTTTGGCCTCAGATTTAAGATCGGCTCCCCACCCCCTTACACAGATAGAGATGCAGTCCATGCTGCTCTAGCAGCAATAAAGAGAAATGGATTTCTCCCTTTTGCCACACTGCTGAGGTCCTCCACACATAGGGCTCCAGAGCACTTAACATGTTAGATTCTGTTCTCCAGGTCATTTAAATATGTGTAATATCAGTTGCTATAATTGCTTTGATGAACCAGAGTATGTCATATACTCTGCCGATTGAAATGATCTTTTTCCTTTAGTTGAAAAGCCCACTAATTCTCTCAGGACTAATTCAGACTCTTGTCTCCCACAGTTCTCATCCCTAAGTATGGTCTAGGATTTGATACTGCAGTATGCCGTAATCAGTATATTATATGTGCTGCTTTTAATATAGAAATATAAAGACAAGAAAATATCCCATAATGCTACCACCCAGATATCCCAACTTAAAAAAAAAAAATACAAGAGTAATCAGTGTTAAGGGACAAAGTCAAATAGGGCAGAAAAGCACAAAATCTTTATTTCAGGCCCCTCTTCAGTTGTTTCTCATAATTTTTTTCCAGAAAAATTTAGCACCTATACCTACAAATATGCATTATGGAGATCTTATAAATGTAATGTTGTTAAAATAAAGAATAGATCCCATATTTAGTAGTTTGGGGGTTAGTAGTAGTCAGAAAATATCAGGAATAACTTCTCAAACGTGACAACTGAATCTCATAGACTAAGAACAAAACTGTTAGTTCAAATTCATGGGTTAATATAGTATGAATTTTAGTTAAAGCCTAACAGAAAGCATTATCTATTCAGCTATTAGGTATTGAATTCTTGTAGTCTTCAGATACATGAAAGGCAGTGGAAACAACTCAGCTGTCACTGGAACAACTCTTCAGCCAGGATGCCAGGATCACAGAGAGGTTACAGACAACTAAGATGCTCATGTTTCCCCCTGTTCCTTTATTGTGCCAGTGTTTCTTTTAACGTTTCCTGTGGAAGATAGTTGGAAATTGGTACATTAAATTACCAATAGAAAAAAAGTCCTCTTAGACATTGTACATAGCCAACTCTTACAATATCCTAATTCCTGAGACATATTATTGTGAGCATCCATTGAAGGCTTTTAAAACCTTTCTTTTTAAACACATTGAAAAAGCAGTTAATTTAATTCAGTGTATATCTCTAATTTGTGGTATAATTTTCACAGTTCCTTGCCTGGCATTGGAGTGATAATGATTTTTTCATTATTTTCATTAAGATTCGTGACATGTTCACCCAACTCGATATGGACCAGCTCTTGGGACCCGAGTGGGATCTTTACCTCATGACCATCATTGCATTGCTATTGGGAACAGTTATAGCTTACAGGCAGAGGCAGCACCAAGACATGCCTGTGCCCAGAGCTCCAGGGCCACGACCAGCTGCACCCCAGCAGGAGGGGCCACAAGAGCAGCAGCAACCACAGTAACAGCCGCCACATCCAGCCTTGACCAGTGAAAACTAAGGAACTTGTTTGCTGAGAACACTTACATTTGATATAGAACTTGGGATCAGTGGCCACTTCCTGGAAGAGGCACAAGGAAGCATTGAATTCCTAAAGCTGCTTAGAATCCGATGCCTTTATTTTCAGGGATAAGTAACTTAACTAAGTTGAATGTTTGTTTCAGTGCCATATGGAATAACAACTCAGTGGCTTTTCACTTTTATTTTCTTTTTTTCTGAAACATACGAGACACTCAGAGTAATTTCTGCTGCATTCAGCTATTTATGTCTAATCCTTTAGGTCATTCTTTCAATGTGCATAAGTTCTTATATCAAACATCTTTGTCTTGTGCATTGACACTAAAAACTGATCAGTGTAAAAAGGAAAACTCATATATTTAAAAGTCTGAAAGTAAACTTACCTTTTAAGTAAGTTAAAAAAAAATGTCTTCAAAGTATTTTGGAACTACAATAACTGAGAAATTTTTACCACACCACATGCAAGTATATATATGCCTCATATTTTTTATTTTAAAAGGGAAGGTTGGGAAGTTTCTTATAGGTGATTGTCATAATTCATACCATGCTGTTGTCCTTCAAAAACTGAAAGGCTTTGTTAAAGAGTTCTATGTGAACATCAACTCTTTGTAATAGAATATATGTAAAACTCTGTGAACTGACTTATTGCACTAACGTGAATTTTCCCCACCTACTCAGTGTAATTTGCTTGCTTGTTTTGAGTGTACAGAGCCTTGACCCAGAAGCCAGAGGTTGGACTAGCTGGGAGAAATTGGAAAGCAACATTAAAGAAATTTGTTTCAGTACCAAGATCATAGACATACTTTCCCCAAAGTTGAAGTATTTGTTCCCAGGTTTTATTTTAAAATACTTTACATTTTTTACCGCTCAAAGAAGATATCAACATCTTGAATTCTTCAAATATGAAATAGCATTGTCAGGATATGGCATACAGTAACTGCCCTACACTCAGAGAACTGAAGATGGATTAAGCACAGTGACTGACAAAGCCAAGGCCTGTATGGACTACTGTGTATGTTCAGGTGGCTTTTATTTCTTACAGTTTTATGTTACGGTAAAAAGTTAACCATTTGCTTATCTGTCATATTTACCACCCTCTTACTGTTAATGTTAGGAAATTCAAGGCTACTACACTTCATGGTTACCTAGTTAAATAGATGGAGAAAAACAAAAATACCAAAAAAAATTGAGGACTTCGTGTAATCTCTCATATGAAAGAATTAAACCAAATTTGAATTTTGTTTTATGGGTAAATGGTGGAATTTGCCATCCATTATCTATTCTGAGCCTACATTAGTAAGTGAGCAGTCCACTGATGTCAATCTTTATATATTAACCCTTGGACTGTTTTCCTATAATCCCCCATCTGCCAGAAAACTTGAAGAGTTTGTTTCTCGTAGAGTTATAATGCTTGGTTTTTGAAGTTGGGATTGTATTTAGAATTAGATTTGATTAGTCTATAATGAACATGAAGGATTTAAATGTGAAGTTGTATACTTTTTTGTGTGCTTAGAATATTAAGGGAAACCTGGTAAGCAAGCTTTCCTCCCAGATATTTGCTTCCAAATTTGAAGAGGTGGTCACAGAGAGGACCATACATATAAAAGCGTATCTGTAAGAGGTACAGAATGTTGCCCTCAAAAGTGTAATGTTGCTTTGGGCTGCTCTTATAAATATAGAGACCCGCTTAGTCTCTTGCACTTAGAAATTCAAGTGCAGGTGGTACACTTTGTCAAGGTCTTTATTGCTCCCTCTGCCCACTTCAGAATAAGTGTAATCTATGTAGCAGCCACACACACTTCTAACTTTAGGAGGCACTGTTTTAATTTAGAAGCTGAAGAAGCTGGGCATGAAGGTACATGCCTGTAGCCCCAGCTACTCTGAAGGCTGAAGCAACAGTCTGGGCAACATAGTAAGACCCCCGCTCAAAAGAAAAGAGTTGTTGAAAAACCCTGTAAGATAACTTACCAACTTCCAGTTTTTTCTTACGTTATTCGTCTAATTTCTTCTTGGATTGCATTTTTTTAAATCTGTCTTTACTTCCCTCCATTAGTATATGGAGAAAACATTTCTTAAACAGCATGCACTTGGGCTGGATGGGAAAGTGAAGTCTTATTCTTCATGTAATAATAGACTTCCTGTTAGTTTACTCCTTGCTGTGTCCTTTTTTATTATTAATACTGCAAATATCCTTTCCTTAGTTTGCTTCTATCTCTTGTTTTACCCTGGGCCACTTGCTTTCAGAAATTTGAATGGTAAAATAACTCAGTTCTTATGGCTTCTTTTAAAGACTGTCTCAAAATACTTTGCTTCCTTTTTCTTTTTGTTCATGGGACATGGTACCTAAGCAAATAGGGATTGGGTTTGGTTTTCTCCTAAAAATAATGCACAATACTTATGTAATCAAATGGCATCCATTTGAATAAAGTGACAATAACTAAAGCTAGTTAATGTCAGTGACATTAAACTAACTCCAGGATTCAGGAGTTTTAATGTTAGAATTTAGACTTACCAGATAGAGTGTGGCTTCATTTCTCCACGGTAGCCCACCTCTCCTGATACCTTTTGTAGTCTGTCTTTCAGCCTTCGAAGGTGATGACATTAGCGCTCTATTTAGCGTCGCTTCTCTTGTGCATATGCTTTGTTGGTTAGCCAATGGTTTCAAAGTCTTGAAACCATCCATTCTATTTTATTTTGCAAAGGTGGCACTGGTGGGGGGGGGTCCAATTTTTTCTTTTTTGTGTTTGAAGTTTTTTTCTGTTTTCTGGGTGAGGCTTACTTTAGTTTTGATTTATAGTCAATGGCACAGAAAAAGTAAATCAGAATTCATTATTTAGTATTTAAATCAGATTAACTTTATGAATCATTAATCTTGATGTTCTTGAGGATTTGTTACCCTTTTGCATATAAGGTTAATTTCTGGGACTTTTACCACTAAACTGTTTTGTCTCTGTACCATTGGGAAGCTTTAGAAACTTCCACCAGTAATCTGGTGATGATCTGATGGTTGATTTATTTAAGGAGCCTCCAGGAAACCTGATTATTTTATATATAGAATTTCATTCATTTTTGCCTCTTTTCTCTGCTCTTCATATTTGTTCTTCTAACCATCGTTTTGGAAGTATGCATGCTGGCCTGTAGATGAAAACCACAATTCTTCATGTGTATAGCATGTGTACTAATGTCTAACTACATCTGCAAAAACTTCCTCTACAGAGGTTTGGACTAACATTTCACATACACATTTCAAAAACAAGATGCTTCAGGTAAATCACCCATTTACCTGCCAAGAAGACCAGGGCTATTTTTGCTCCAGTGACAGCTGGTATTTGTTTTGAAAGTGAGCTAGTATATATTACACAATATTTGGAACAGAAGTATGCAAAAAATAATCAGAGCAAAAGAAAACTTCTATTTTTATGCAGACTTTTTCATCAGTCATTGCTCAAATATGAGTGAAAATATGCAATTAGCGAATGCCATATTTTCTGAGGCACTACCTGGTTTTTAAATGTGTAGTATTCATTGAAAAGAAGCTAAATTTATCCGCCCACTTGGTATTTTAAGAAAATTTAAAATGACCCCAAATAACAATATTTGTATCTTAAGATGACTGTTTGCACAAGTAAAAAGTCTGATTTTGTACACAAGAAGGATCCCTTGGTTATGTGCAGTGAGCCATCTCACATGTACTGTTTTTACTAATTTGGATTGACCTACAAGATAACACTATTTCTCTTTCATTTAAAAAAAAATGTTGATACGATTCAAGTAACCACTATAAATATTTAGAAGAGGAAGTTTAAAAAGACCATGCTGGCATTGTGAAGGAATACCATGGTAGACTTTTTTTGTGTGTGAATTTATTTTGTATTTAATGAAATGCAGTATAAAAACTGGTGACGTGTAATATAATTGTGTAAACAGAAACCCTGTTAATAGAGAGATGTACAGATTCGTTTTATACTGTATCTTGAAACTTGTGAAATAAAGATTCCACCTCTGGTTTTCCTGTACCCTGTAGTGTACTGCCACAAAGCATCATTCCAGCCACTCCTCTTTTAACCTGAATGATCCAACTTTTTAAGGAAAGTATTTAGAAATTTAGAAACTTCTGTAAAACATTTGGCGGGGGGGGGGCATTTTTAATCCGTCTTTCATTTTCAGCTCTTAAGAAGATCTGAGTAAAAAGGAAATGGAAAATAAAGCAATATTAAACTGGGAGTGAGCTTTGTACACAAAATGCAAGTCAGGGACTGGAATGTAACTCAGTAATAGAGTGTTTGCCCAGCATCATGCATGAGGACCTGGCCTCAAATCCCAGCAGTACAGGAAAAAAAAGGAGGGGAAGGATTAGGAATGGATTACAATTTTGGCCCTCACCTTCATAGCAGCCAATTCAAGTGGCCAAGGCAAAATGTTCCAGCTTAGAAGATTCAGATCCTTGGATAAAAAGTCTGGATAATGCAAATTGTGGCAAGTTGGATCTCAAATTTTCACTTCAAGGAGCACAGCCAGCCTGCCCCAGATGACCTGGGGTAAAATGGAAGTAATGGGGATGCTGGACATGAGAGGTATACCGACAGCAGTTTGGCCGTTCAGCCTGCAGTTGGGTATGATGCCTACTTACCACTTAGCCCTTTTCTGAGGAGTTGTTAAAAATGCAGTGTTCAATCTTCGTTGAAAGAAACTTGATGAGAAATAGTCTCTTTAACTTCCTTTGTACTACTCATTTAGATTGCCTGTACCAGCTTTGAGATTAGCTTATACTAAATTATAACATATACTTAAATGATGTAAAAGTAAAATTTTAGAAGGTAATTTCTGTAGTAGAAACTATGAAAAGCAGAAGAAGGAATTTTTTTAGTTTCTGGATATTTTCCATGAATAAGCAAATGAAAATAAAATGAAGTTTACTCTCCAGTTTAAAAGTGTCGCAGTGTCAGGATATCTTTCACACTTATAGTGACTTCTGTCACTGCCTAAAAGCCATCAAATTGAACAAGCTTATAATTGGATACTGAAAATTCTAAGCCTGATTTTCCTTAGAGGCTCAATTCTTCTTTGGATTAACTTCTTTTAAACCTCAGCTAGTGTTAATTCTTAATTGTATACTCAATTGCATTTCTAAAAGCCCTACATGTTTTTTCTCATGTAAATTGAGTAGCTCCTCCTACTTTAGCTGACTTTCAGAACATTCATGTAAATATTTGTTGTTGCCCAATCCACTCTCCTTTTATCTTCTTGCTACCGCTAGAACTTTGTTGAAATTAGCCTCTCGGGATTGGAAATGATTTTTCATGTGCCTTGTAAATCTCTCTAAGTAAGGGTTCTGACTTTGAAAATGAAGATTTCACTGAGTTTTACATGATTCAAGATTTAAATGTGAACAGAAACCTCCTTTCTTGGAAACCAGATTTATTTCAGGACGTGAAAAGCACAGCTGTGAGTTTCAGAGTTTGTCCATCTGTGTTTCCCCACTCTTCCCCCATGGCCTTGCCCTTAGTATGCTTTTTTTTTCTTTTAGGAACTTTTTTTTAACAACTTATTTATTGTTTATTCTAATTTATTATATATGACAGCATAATCCATTACAATTCATTAGTATGCTTTTCTAAGGAAATTTTGATTAATTAAACTTTTTTTTCCCCTAAATAAAATCTTAAATAAATAGGCTAATCCTGATTGTGTGTGTGCATGTAGCCATGATGGTGAAGAGTGGAGGGAACTTTCTAGTTTTGTTCCCTTTATGCACTAGTGTAAAATTTACTTGAATTTTCCAACCTACACATATATGTTCTTTTAACATCTTAAGTCATACATGGAAATTTATTGAAGGACTGAGAGAGGTAAGAACAGTACAGTATTTCCCTGTAGTACTTTTTTTTTTCCAGTACTAGGGATTAAATCCATGGCCTTGCAGATGCTAGGTAGTCACTCCACTGTTGAGCTAAACCCTCAGCTAGCTTAGTAGCCCCATTTTGATTGAAGTACGTGCTATAAGTGGAACTGTCCACACCAGAACTGTTAAGAGCAGCCTTTATTTTTTAAAAAGCAGAAAAAAAGGGTCATTAAAGACAAGTTTGTATAATTGGTATCTGTATTTGATCACTCATTTCAGACTTAAAAGAAATTAAAGTCTCATAATAAAATTGATATTTTTTGTGTACTCAGGTTAGCTAAAGCACAGAAGAATCAACTAGATCTCACCAAACACAATATAAGAAGTTCTGAATAGGACATTGTCTTAGAGCAGTGAAATAGAGGAAATGCCTTGAACAGACTTGAATTCCTAACTTTAATGGCAGAAAAAGTAATTGCAACTCCTTTGCCTATTACCATTATTAGGGGCTTTTTAATTGTGTCACCATGCCTGGACAAGAGTCGTGATAAATGGGATAGGTGCGTAAGGTACAGATCCAAATACAACCTCCACAGGCTACAGTGGAGTCCTGCATTTCCAGCTGCTGCTCCTGTGACGTTTGATCTTAAGACTGGTGATCACTCCTAACCCCACTGAATGGCCCACAAAAGTAAAGAAGGGAATTGTAAGGGGAAAAAAAGCCCTGGGCTGAGTGACGTGGGTAGCTTAGGCAAACTGTCCACTTCATATGGTTCTCAGAGGCAGCGTGAGTCTGGGCACACAGGGTGGTCATTAAGGCCCTAGCCAGTCACAGAAGGTCTTACGTGCTAGAAGTAATTGAATTGACTTTTTTCACTAACACCAGACTTACAGGCCTTTATGGTGGAAATAACAAATTTGCTGTCCTAAAATCGTTAACTTCAGACAATTTACAGGCCAAATTTCCCTTCATATGAAAAAGGTTGATCTTTAATTTATTACCTAAGGTTTTTTTCTTGCCCTTTATCAGCCTTTATTATACTCTAGACACTATGTTCGAGGCACTGAAATGTAAAGTGAATTTAAAGATGAGCATGAATGAAAGAATAAGTTGAAAGAGGCTCTTATCCTCTGGGTCATCTTCACCACTGACTAAACACAACATCTCATGGGCCCTAAGTGCTTTACATGCATTATTGAATTGAAAGCTACTCCTTGATGTCAGCACAGTTCATGTCATTCCCACTTAACAAATGAAGAAGCAAGTTCAGAGAGGCTAAGCAACTTGCACAAGATCACACAGCTAGTGTTAGTCATAAAACTGAAATTTAAATAAAAGACTATCTTGGCTATAAATCCCACATTCTTTACCTATCTATGATGCTCTTCTATTGTCCTTAATACAGTGTGGTAAGGTTTCTAATGGAAGTACAAACAATGCCATGGGGAAAGAGCAATAGCGAAACGTAAATGGGGCACATTTTGTGTCAACTTGTCCATGCTGGCAGGCTGTTCTACTTTTACCATGCACTTCTAAAGCAGTGTTTGCAGTATTCTACGCAGCTTTGCAATTTTAAAGGTAAAAATCCATGTGAAGCAAGTGAGGTGCACCCTGACTAGCATCGGGTGGGGAGCCATGTGACCTGAACCTAAACCTGTTTTTCCAAAACAGCTCCCACACTGAGGTGTCTGGGATGGGATGGGGTAGCCAGAACAGCTGCAGACTGGCTGGCTGCTTTTTGTGCAGCTGTCTCAAGGCCGGTGAGATTGCCTCCAAGCTAGCATCCCGAAAGTCCAGGTGGAGGACCCAGCCTCGGAAATCTCAAATATCATTTCCACTGCATCAATCTGTCACTCAGACCAGCTCAGATTCAAAGGATGCCCTATGGGAGAGCAACAGACTCCATCTCCCTGTGGACGATCAGCCACCGAGGACAAGGAGGAAAAGAATCTGGGAGATGAGGCTGCCACCATCACCAGTCCATTTTCCTCTGTGGCATCAGCAGCCTTGGTAGTTCATGACTTGGTCATGGAGATGTCAGTGTTCGACTTGCTTCGAGATAACTTCTCTGTATGTAACCGGTGCTATGAATTGTGGGAAGGCAAGAGTGCCACAGTGAATCGGACTTCAGCCCCATCCTCGAGGACTTCCTAAACAGTGGCTTGAAGGAGCTTTTCAAGACCAAGGCTTTTTCCTTGATTTCAACATTTAGGAGTTTCTAATGTCACTTACCAACCCAGTTTGTCTACAGATTTAGAACTAGACCTCCCACATCCATTTTCCTGAAATAGCTGAGCTAGTGAAAAATAATTAATGGAGCTAATGGGGGTTGTGGTTTATGCAGTGTTAACCATACCTGTTTCCATTCTTCCAACTGCTCCTGCCCTAAGGCGTGCCATGCCTCTTTTCCCCACATCTGCCCTCTGGCCTGGTTCACTCTCCTCCCCCAGGTCTCTGTTCAGACTTGCCTGTGCCTGCAGTAAATCAGATCCATCTGTTATTCACCCCTCTGTTTTTCCTTTATAACCCTTCTTATCATTATTTACAATATTTGTTTAATCTTGGTCTCCCTGTTGGTAAATCCCAAGAGGACAGGCACCAGTCTGTCCTATTCAGCAGTGTGTGTCCAGAGTTTGGCAGAACGCCCAACACACATTTTAATTTGATTAATGTTTGAATTAGCAGATGGACTTTCCAGTAGAAATCACATTATGAAAGACGGTGAAGCCTTCAGAGTCAGCTCTTGCGAAATCCTGCTAAATACAAATGTACTTCAAGTGTTTAGATAGTATTGTGTGACTTGGCCATTTTATGTAGGATCTTTCCACTCCCTGCCTGGTTCTCTCTACTGCAAGCAAGCAGGAGAAATCCCTTCTCAGAAAACAGCTCAAAGGAGGGAGAGGAAACCCAATGCATCTGGCAGGTGCTTTCACCCCTTCTGGGAGAAGGAGGAGCCTTGTTCCAGAAATAGGGGCAGAAGGGCACGACATTGAATTTGGCCATTGAAGTGCCAAAGACCTTTGCAAACTGAAAAGCGAGAAAAACACTGAGTACTTAAACCACTGTTGAAAAGAAACCAAGACAACCTCTGCCCTCTTAGCTACATGTGGCAATCTCCCTCAATACTGCCTGAATGCTTACTGCCCCCAAACATTTGTACCAGGAAGAAGTCC